CAAAACCTTGTCGAAACGTTGTACATTTGCTGCCATGTTAAACTTATATTAAAATTTTTCTTCATTACCCATTTAAGCCGTCTCCAGCCATTATTAATCTCAAAGTTGGTTCCTCGTCATCGAATTTTACCCTATCAGTTCTTGCTGTCTTCTAATAGTAACACATAGTTTCACAGTATGTAATATTCGATGTTCAATGAAGCCCTGTCATTGAAAACAACTTTCTATGGACTTAATTGCACGCATACTTTGTGTTTGTTTGTTTGTTTTACAAAACTGTCTACTTCACTTGAACCATAATGTAACTAATATGTCCACAATGGACGTTTTTCAAATATAAAATGTTGAAATATCCGCCAGTTTTATAGCTGTGCAAATAAGCCATATTTTATTATAATCGGCCAAACCTTTCTCAAGTCTCTAGAAATAAAATAGTTCGTTTTTCTTAACCCTTTTACTACTATGATTACAAAAAACATATTTCTAGAGCATTGCCACGAGTACATACATGGAACACAAACACACACACGTTTTAATTTTGAAAAGTGCAACATTAAGTAAATTTTCTGAGGAAGAAGTGTCAATAATTTTATTGTTAATTAAAAATATCAACGTTGCATACTGATTTATAGTTTTAATTTTGAAAAGTGCAACATTAAGTAAATTTTCTGAAGAAGAAGTGTCAATAATTTTATTGCTAATCAAAAATATCAACGTTACATACTGATTTATAGTTTTAATTTTGAAAAGTGCAACATTAAGTAAATTTTCTGAAGAAGAAGTGTCAATAATTTTATTGTTAATTAAAAATATCAACGTTGCGTAGTGATTTAAAAATTTTGGAAATAAATACACGAATAATTATTTTACTTAATACCGCTTGCAATCTAAGAACATAACATTCCGTTGTAAACTATTTCATATAAACTATTCCGTTGTAAACTATTTCATATAATTAGTTCTAAACAAAATTCGAGTCGATATAACAATTAAAAAGTGAGACGCGAATGATTTATATATTCTACTTGGGTTTCTGTGTGCATCTATAAATGTAGTAGTGAAAGAGTTAACATGTCGAAATAATTATAAAAACAAACGTATTTCAAAGAGCTATTCGAGTATAAAGTTTGAAAAACATTTCATTTTTAAGGTGTAAGTGACTGTGGATAATGTAATAACTTGCATTTTTTACATCTCCCTTTTCAAGTTTAAATGTAAAAAGGTTGACAAAATCCCGACAAAATTTCTGGGTTTGAAAAGTGTAAAACTAAAGCTAAAACTATGGTAAAAATAAGGTTCTGTGCGTTTCAACTTCAGCAGACAGATTACGTTTTATCCTCAAATAAATCACATGAATGGTATTGTCTAACAATCGATACGTTAATTAACGATAAGCGACAGATTAATTACATCGTACTTCGATAAATGTAGTAAGAAACGTCCCCAAAAGTTGCCGTAACCCTCCCCTCGTTGCTCCCGCACCCAACGAAAAGTTGAAAAGTTTTTTTTTTTTATTATTACTTATCTATTTGTACGACATTGTACACATTAATCTATACGCCTGTACACTTGAATGGTGCCGATGACACTCACTCATAGTCATAGCTACAAGGAAATTTACAAGACATTCTTTTATGCATAACTAAGAGAGGTGAAGGCCCGGCATGGTCAGGTGGTTAAGGCACTCGACTCGCAATTTGAGGGTCGCGGGTTCGAATCCCTGTCACACCAAACATGCTCGCCCTTTCAGCCGTGAGGGGCGATATAATGTGACGTTCAATCCCACTATTCGTTGGTAAAAGAGTAGCCCAAGAGTTGGCGGTGGGTGGTGATGACTAGCTGCCTTCCCTCTAATCTTTCACAGCTAGATTAGGGAGAGCTAACGCAGATAGCCCTCGTATAGCTTTGCGCGAAATTCAAAAAGAAAAACAAGAGAGGTGAAAATCGCCTGTGTCCCACGTGACTAGTGAAGGGTTAAGCGAGCTGTATACTTCCACTCCCACGTGTTCGAAGAGGATAACGGTTTTTTGACGGGAGCTTCAGTTTATATATTAGAGCAAAACAAGGAAGGAAATGCATAAATCATAATCATAAATATCTTTTATATTTTCTAAGATAAATAATATTTATATTTTCTAAGATAAATAATATTCATATTTTGTAAAATTAATAATACTGATACAAATAAACAATTTTTGGTATCTAAATACTGTAATAAACAGATAAATATATATTTATATATTTAACAAAAAATACTAGCATAAATCGCATGCCCCCTACAATTTTATCTAGTCCATCTCATCCCCTCCATCGGGAAGAGACTGGCGTCACCCCTAGATACAAATAAATAAAGTTTTACATAGAAAAAAAAGAGAGTTAAAAACAGTCTGAATAAGACTTTAATGATAAACAATTACTATAAACTATAGTAATACAGTAGAACAAGCGATACAGTTATGGCCGACGGTAAGGGGGGGGGGAGGTTAAGCTGCCCCAAAGAATGCCTCAGCCCCCCTCTTCGTATAACTAACTGAATAGCGAAAGTGCAACACATGTTCTTTAGGAATCGTTATGAACCATATTAATGTTTTTACAATGCATGGTGAAAACAATATGACATCGAATGATATCGACTTTTGTTCCACTGTCTCTTTTAAACTATTTCTCAAGTAGAATTCTCCACCAAAGAATTCCTTTTTAATATCATTCGTTGTTGTTGTTGCTCATCTGGCAACAATGTGTAAACGTGCTCTGTTTATTATGTTTAACCATCCCATGGAAAGAAAAGTGGGTGGATAATGCTGCGTCAGCCATATTCCTGTCTTCGTGTATATAACAGCTGCAGGCGTGGTACCGGGCTAACAGCATACTGAAAATATACTCCACGTAATCGTGTTAAACAAACAATACGAAATGCTGACACATCTTTATATATTATATATATCATCTATGCCCATTTATATGGAAGAACTGGAGCAATATTAAGACTGAGCGTGGAATATAGGCCTTTTGGTTAAGACTGAATTATCTTTAAAGGATACTCAAACACGTCTACTAACTTGTGTTAATGGACTAACAAACTGATTATATAACGTATGTCAATAAACTAAAAAATCCAACACTTCTTTCCACAACATTTGGACAATATTAACAGTTTAGAAAAACATAACTGATATACCACTGCTTTAACTAGCCAAAGTATTTAACAATGTCAAAAAGAAGAGAAAAAAACAGTTCTTAACGTTTTTCTAACTCGAACCGTGTTTCTGTTATTTTGTATGCACATAAGAAAAGGAAAGTCTCCAGTATGAGTGGGGTGGTCTTCAACTGTGTGAGTCACGAGCATGTGCGGTGTTTCAAAGCCAAGCCCTAAGGCAGTCCACGATCTGTGCGTCTGCCCTATTTGGGGAGGGAGAGAGGAGAAACAAGGCAAAGGTAATAATAATGGGAAGGGGTAAATTTAACTACGTTATATCAATGGACATAATAAACGCTTCTTATTAACACCTTACCTTATCTGACAATGTTATTTGGGTAAATTACAAACTGCACAGATCACAAGTATTAAAGAGCAGTATTATGACCGATATATAAAAAGTAGTAGTAATTAATTAGTAAAAAGATCAGATTTTCAAACCCGCTTTGTTTTCTTTTATTATCCACCCCGACATATGGGATTAGGTTCAATGATTCCAAATCGTGAAATGCTTACGTCATGCCGAATACACACGAAAACCGAGCTTACGTGTTGTTACAGATCGCGAGTAAAAACGTGTTCGATGACAAGTCCAGAATAACATAATATAACAAATACGAAAATCAAAATGTCTAATTTGAATATAATATTTATTTAGCTGTAAAAGCGAAGAAAAATATAACTTTTGTACATACTGGAAATTAAGATGCAAACAGAAAAAAACCTTAAAAAATTATTTTTTTTTTTACTTAAACATACAAATTAAACCGTTAATGCTTATAAGCTGTTAATATACGTTCAAAAGCTTATGTACTACACATTTAAAGAAATAGTAATTAATTAATCGTTGTTGTTTTCTAGGATTTGTACAAATATACGTCACGTTTCAATCTCTAAAAATGAAAATGTATTCGGTAAAGTAGAGTTTTTAAAGAAATACTTTACTAAAGTTTTTATTTTTATTGGAAAATATACGCTGTATGATATAACCATTAACGTCGAGCTGATGTCACGCTTATTAACATCTCACTTAAATTAAAACACACTTGTGACCGGACAACAAACGTACATTTTATGAATATTTTTGCTGTATTCTTCCTCTAGGTTCTAATTAATAAATACATGTGTGTGTGTGTTTAAATTTTGAACAAAACTTATTTTATTGTTTTATTTATTTTAACTAGAGATTCTAACAACAGTTTTCACTCACCGAGGTGTAAAGTTAAATTCACTTGGGTGGGGTACTGAAGCCCCTCATACATTGTTTCACTCTGCCACCATGTCTCGTTGTTGTTGTCGTTTAAGTCCGTCAGATAATCTGGGGGGTGAGCAAGATCACGGTAAGTATTGTCACATATTTCACAGGACTTCCTCGCTCCAGTTGCACTTGTCTGAAGACAATATTCCGTCGGGCCGCGTACTCCACAAGTGTTAGTTGCTTCCACGTGCAAGTTAAAAGCAGCGTTGCTAAATTCTGGCATACATCGTTGAGGTCGGCTCTGGTCATCGTAGCAGGGACTGGACGTCCGCCGCCTGGAGTTAAAGCCTAATCTTTCAACATTTTGTCCCGGAGTAGGGTGGAAGAAACCCAAAAATAAAATCCACGTAAATAAGAATTTCCAAGTGTACTTCCTAAACCGGTAAGCGCTACTTACTACCTCACCACGTTCCGCCATTTCCTTCTGAGCGCACGACCTCATGCGGCTTCTTAAATGCACATGTATGGTCGTGAAGCTTGTGAGCGCGTACTGGCGGGCCGATCGCTGAGAGGTCGTCTGGTAGTGATTGGCTGTTTGTTCTATCCTTCGCACAGTTCTCAATAACCCGCAGAATGCTCCTACATTCAGAATAGGGCGGGGGTGGAATTCTCACGTGCTCAAAGAGAAAACTGGTATATTTTTTATGTTTGTATTAATATTTTGATGCTTATTTATGCTTTCAAAACCAACATTGCTGTGTATTTTCCCTCAGTAAAAATAAGTTTAGAGTGCAGGTTTTCCAAATCATTGTTTAAATAAAGTATTTACTATAACCGGAAGAGAAACAACTGGCTTCCTGTTAGTGGGCGATCACGATCCGGTTGTAGGCCTGAGAGATTCTCTTGAGTCTTAATTAGAAATCCTAACCCTACACGATGGAAACCAGATGTCGGCATAGGAAAACCGGTCGGCCAAAGTCTCTTAAGAGCTAGTCAGTCAGAAAGCCTTCTTTTGACCAAAAGAGCTCAAACTAATATTAACCATAACATAATTAGTCATTTTTATCCTGGATTTGTACACAGAATAACTAATATAAAATCTTCCTTGGAGTGAAAATAAACAATTAATTAAATATAAATTTACACGTGTATTTCATAGAAATCTCGTATAGTTCGCTACTAACCTTATACCCAGTGGGACAGACTTACAGTACTAAAAAATCTGTTCCCCGCGGTGGGCACAGCAAATAGCCCAATATGGCTTTGCCCTAATATAAACAAACAATACTGTCACTTTGGAGTTATAATTTTTTTGTTTTTTTTTTAGTTTCTGTTTCCCTATGATATTATTAAAATAGATCATGTGTTTTTTAAGTTTTTACTCACTGGATGTTTTTCTAATTATGTGTGACAAATATGATCATCGAGCGTTCTTTACCAGTTTGTGATTGATGTACATGCAGATTGCCATAAGCCTGACATGGCCTGGTGGTTAGGGCACTCTACTTGAAATGTGCGGATCACCAAACTGAAATGCGTAATCGAACATACTCGTGTGGACGGTATAATGTGATAATCAATCCCACTGTTACTACAGCGAAAATCACGTGACGGTAGTAACACGTCATGAGATTCTAGAAGGATCATGTCTGTTCGTGACAACTCTAGTCTTTTCTACGCGCCCTCTATTTTTATATATATATATAAGCCGGCAAATGAAGTGACGATATATATATAATTGCAGCCAGGCAGAGATAGAGACCT